TACCTGACAGCAAACGGCCACAGAAAATGGGGGGCAGCCGCATGCATCATAGACGTACGAGCTACGTCCATGACCATGCCAATGCGGCGCTCTGCAATCCCATTTTGCTGCGGTGAGTCTGACGGATGACGGAAGCGTGAAGGTCTGACGGATGCCTCGCGCACGACACTAGGCACGCAGAAGGCCAGAGGAGAACTCTCCGCCTCTGTCCGAGTGCAGACGCAACACAGGAAAGTCCGAGCCAAAGCTCTGCCTGAGCTGGAGACGAGCTGCGCGGATCCAGTCGATCAGCACCTCAGTGACATCACCCTTGCTGCGCAAGGGGAAGACTGTGGTGAAACGCGAGTAGTCGTCAGCCACCAACAGGAAGTAGCGCTCGTGACCGAGTCCACGGACGCGGGCAGGGCCCCACACGTCCATGTGAAGCGTCTGCAACGGAGCCTCTGTCGGAGGAAACTGGGAGGAGTGAGGGGCAGCACGCTGGCGCCCCTCGACACAGGGGACACAGGCAGGGCCAGGGCCCTGAGGAAGGGGAGGGAGGGACCGGGGGAGACCAGACACAAGAAGACGGGAGGCCATGCCTCTGAGCCGAAGCAGAGAGGGGTGGCCAAGGCGGTGGTGCCAGAGGAGGGTCTCGTGAGACAGACGGCGACACGAACAGGTGGCAGACTCAGGACCAGACCTGGACGCTGCAGCAAACACCTGACCAGACGAAGAGACCCTACCAGACTCAGCACCTGGAGGAGAAGCAGTGGTCAGTGTGTACAGGCTCGACCCTGGCTGACGTGTAAACGTAGCCAGGTGGCGACCTGTGCTAGCCTCTGTGCAGTGTGTCACCCGCTGACGAGCAAGAGTGAACTGGTGGACACCCGCATCCTGTAGGTCAGCACCACTCACCAGGTTCGTAGAGAACGAGGGGAGGTAGAGACCAGTCAGGGTGCCAGAGGGAGCCGCCGGATACGGGAGGACTGTGGAGAAACGAGACAGGACAGGACCCCCAAAGGGGTCAGCCAGGGACACCGCAACCGGCCGACTAAGCGGCGTGAGAGTGGTGCGGTCCCGAAAGAAGGAGCGAGACGCCCCAGAGTCAAGGGTGAAGGTGTGGGAGGCCGAAGCCGACGCAGTACCTGAGAGTGCAGACTCACTAGTACCTGAGAGCACAGACGCACTGGCACCTAGAGCAGCAGCCTCACTGACACCTGACGCAGCAGTACCAATGCCCGGGTCGGGCGGGAAACACCGGTAACAGTCACCCTCATCACTAACAGTCACAGCATACATGGCAGCAAGGATAGCATCATAGTCAAGATCAAAGATAGCTACACCAGCCCTAGACAGCTCTCCCCAGCGGGGGATCTCAGAGGCCTCCGGAAACTGCTGGCGCCAAGCGTCGGTCAAGCGGGCAAAGCAGCGGCGGGCGGTGTGGGTGCCCCCACACTGCTCACCCGCGCGGTCGCCGGTGCGAAGGACGTAGGTGCAGGGGCCGAACGCCCCACCACGCTGACGCTGCGAGTACCACTCACGGAGTTGATGAGGGGCGGGGATGTCGCGAGAGCGCTGCTGCTGCTGCTGCTGCTGCTGGCGCTGACCACCCGCAGTGCTGCTCCGCTGCGACGTGCCACTCCGGCCACCTCCACCACCGCCACCCCCGCCTCCGCCGCCACCGCCGCCACCGCCACCCTCGCCCCCGCCGCTCCCACCGCCACCTCCGCCACCACCACCGCCTCCACTGCCGCCACTAGTACCTCCATTCCCGCCACCACCTCCACCGCCACCCCCACTCCCCCCGCCGCCCCCACCTCCTCCGCCACCGCCCCCGCTAGCTCCACCCGCTCCCTTGCCCCCCTTGCCCCTGCCAGAGCGGCGCCTACCGCTGGGGGCAGACGCAGCACCGACCGACTCCAAACCAACGAGGTCGGCCGCAGCAGCAGAGGCGACAGAGGGCAGCAGGGGGGAGGGAGAACACCCCTCAAAGATGGGGGTGCGAGGGTCACCACGAGAGGCCCCTACAGCGACTATACTCTTCCCAGCCGCTAGCAGGGACTTCTCAAGGAGGTCGACAGTGAGGGTGGTGGGACAGACAGAGAGAAACTGGTCCCTAACGGCACGAAGGGACTCAGGGAGACGGGTGACTAGAAAGTAGAGAGTGATGTACATGGGAGGAGGGTTTGCGGCGCGGAAGTCAGCAGGAAGCGCAGCGCGGTAGCGAGTGTCACTAGCGCGGAGGTGGGTAAAGAGGTCAGCGACTGTGGGAAAGGCAGCGAGGTCAGGGAAGAGGTACGGAAGCATGAGGCGGCTCAGCGTAGCGGAGGAAGGGGAGGAGTAGCGGGCAAGTACAGCGTCGTACAAGGCCTGAGCGGTCTTGCACTGACTAAAGTGCGCACGCTCGGAGGAAGGGAGGTGTCGACGCACAACAAGACGTGCAGCAGCATCGCGTGTGGCCCACTTGGAGCGAACAGTGGGGTCAGCATCAGCAGGAGGGGCAGGGACAGCGCCAGAGACAAAGTCAAAGAGAGAAACCTCATCTATCGCATCGCACAGTAAGTACAGCTGCAGGTCCTCGACCCAGACTGCAAAGTCAATGGCGCGACCCTCAGCATCAAAAGTCAGGACACTGGGGGTGGCCATTATAGCAGCTGACAGTCTCACCGGGCAGGAAGAGTTGGATAGCTCAGTAGTACAGTAACACGGCAATACAGCGGTTGCGCCGGTCCAGGAGCAGCAGCAGCCCCACAGGAGCAGGAGCTCGGCACCTCAGGCTGCTCGGGCGGCTCGGGCGGCTCGGGCGGTTCGGGCGGCTCGGGCAGCTCGGGCAGCCCGGGCGGCTCGGGCGGCTCGGGCGGCTCGGGCGGCGCAGGCTTCTCGCGGGCGGCGCACGGGTGACTACACGGGAGGCTGGGGCGGCTCACGGGCGGCGCGCGGGCGGCTCACGGGCTGCTGCACGGGCGGCTGGGGCGGCTCGCGGGCTGCTCGCGGGCGGCTCGCGGGTTGTGCACGGGCGGCGCGGGCGGCTCACGGGCGGGCGGGTGGCTCGCGGACGGGCTGCGCACGGGCGAGCGGCGCACGGGCGGGCGGCTCACGGACGGGCGGTGCACGGGCGGCGCCAGCGGCTCACGGGCGGGCTGGTGGCGCACGGGCGGGCGGCTTACGGGCGGCGCCGGCTCACGGTCGGGCGGCGCGCGGGTGGGCGGCTCACGGGCGGCGGCTCACGGGCGGCGTCTGACGGGCGGCTGCTTACGGGCGGCGGCTGACGGGCGGCGCTCACGGGCGGTGGCTAACGGGCGGCGTTCACGGGCGGTGCTCACGGGCGGTAGCTCACGGGCGGCGGCTCACGGGCGGCGGCTCACTGGCAGGCCGCGGGCGGCTCACGGGCGCTAGGGCGGGCGCCGGGCGCTAGGGCGCTAGGGCTGGCGCTAGGGCGGGCGCTAGGGCGGGCGCTAGGGCGGGCGCTAGGGCGGGCGCTAGGGCGCTAGGGCGGGCGCTAGGGTGGGCGCTAGGGCGCTAGGGCGCTAGGGCAGGAAAAAAAAATTTCGAAGTGGTGGGCCCTAAGCAAAGTTCCCACAGGGGAACCTGCTTGATACCATGAGAAGAAGTGAACGAGAGAATGAATGAACTATGAACGAGGTGAGTACAAATAGGAAACCCTAATTGGGTTGTACCCCCTATGGGATACCCCACTATAGCCTACACAAATAAGTAAGCTATAATGTTCTGACAATTTGAGATGGCGAAGGGAAAACCATCGCGAAACCCTAGCATGTGGAAAAAGTGTCACATCTGCATTCGGACCGTCCGAAGTTGCAAACATTCAAATCGGACAGTCCATTTCGTTATAAACGTACCGTCCGATTCCATATAATCGGACGGTACGTCAAAATAAAAAAATGCAAAATGGTTACGCGCCCTTAGCAACTTACATCAGTGTGACTCCAACGGAGGAAGCACATGAAACTGCTACTGTACATAGTGAAGTTATTTACCAAGATGGGTTTACTCGCTCTCGTTGTGGTGCCATCGTTTATGCGTCCATCTTTTAAGCACTTCTTGCAATGTTACGATCATGCATGAAAGAGCACTTTCGTGGCACATCGCGTTTAGGGTGGCATGATAGTATGAAATCAGGGCCTCAGAAGTCAGCGAAAAAAGGCTGATTTAGGATCTGGACGCTGATTTCCCAGACTTGTGGCTGATGTGTTGGCTGATAATTCAGTTTTTTTTTTGAAGTGTTGGCTGATTGTTCAGGTTTTTTTTTAATGTATTGGCTGATTTTCCAGCGTTTTTTTACAAGTGTTGGCTGATTTATAACGAGAGTGTAGGCTGAACTCTCACGCTATTACAGATTCGTGCCAGAGCCGTGAGTTTCGGCTGTCCAGGTACATCCACCTGTCAATCACGCAAAAGTCACCATGTACAGCGCCGACGCGGGGGAAAACGAATTTCCCCGACGCGTCGGTGCTTCGTTGTCACCGACAGAATGCTTTAATTGATGTGATTGGTTGTCACATCCCTTATGCGCCAATCACCCACCACCAGTGCAGCACAGCAACGCACCGCACGCACTCACGACAAGGACACCCACCTCACCCCATCTCACCCACCCCGAACCTGCATCCATGTGCGTGCCCTAAACATACGGTAGAACCAATCCAGTTCAGCCTGCGTTTTTTAGTGAGGCTGATTAGTCAGCGTTTTTTTTTGTGACTTGTCTGAAATTTCAGTTTTTATTTTTTAACCAACTCTGATTGATCAGCCCAGCATAGCCTGCTAAGGCTGACGTATCAGCCAAGCTAAAAACGAATCTGAGGCCCTGTATGAAATACACTACGTACCGTGATTTGTTTGCTTAACTGGCAACTTTTGTACCGTCATCGGATCGGATGGACTAAAGCGTGCATAACTGGTGTGAGTCCCCACCAAAGCAGATCTGACAGGTTCTTATAAGCACCCCAACAGTCTTGTCTCTTGTTTTGAGGCATTCTGAATCACACGATCAGATCAAATCAGACGGAAGCGTGGACAGTAGGAGCGTCCCTAGCAGGGTTTCCCTCCGCTTCCTCCTCCCCATCATCACCACCACCCTCCCCCTCGCTCTCTCTCACTGCCTTCCAGCACGGCTTATTCGCCCCTCCTATGCGCGCCTCCGCTGCCACTGGAACCCCTGGGATACGAAAGAGAGAAGCAGGAGACAGGGAGACCGCGGCACGAGCAGATTATGGATGTTTTTGAAAAACGGATTGGCCTTCACGCCCTGCCTCTGCCCCTTCATCACTCCAACATGGCTTAATCGCTCTTCCTATGCGTGCCTATGCTGCCATTGGTTCTCCTGGAAAGCGAGAGGGAAGGAAGGTGAAATGGTTTTTTGTTTTCACCTTGAAGCTTTTCTTCTGCACTCTCCCTCGCTGCCTTTCAGGGCGGAGGCGGAAGGGAGAGGGCGGAAGGGGCCAGCCGGAGAGGAACGGAAAGTGACAGGGGGGTGATCTGAAAGACGCACTCTCTGGCAGCACAAATGTGAAAATGTCGGAACAGGTCTCGTTGAAAACAAGGTCTCTGTTTTAGTCCATGGCCCCTGTTTGTAAAACACGGCCTCTGCTTGCTTCAAACATGAATCCCTGCCTTCCTCCCTCCACCACCCAACCACAGAACTCTCTTTTTCACTCACCTTCCTGGTCCACACTGTTGCCGTTTCCCCCTTCATTACACGCACCTCCCTTTCATTACACGCACCTCCCTTTCATTACACGCACCTCCCTTTCATTACACGCACCTCCCTTTCACTACACGCACCTCCCTTTCACTACACTCACCCTCCTGGTGAAATATCCCCCACACTGTTGCTGTTCGCCCCGTCTGCACAGGCACACCAGAAAAAATGTGATTATAACGGGCGGACCCGGGTGGAGGGAAGGGGGAAAGGGGGATGAGTAGAGGTAACAAGTGTGACTGTAGTGTAGTGAGGGACAGGAATATGGGGAACAGATAGGGTAGAGGGCAAGAAAGGAAAGGAAAGGCTTGGAAGGAGGGCAGGGGTGTTGGGTGGTAAGTGGGGTGGGGGTGGGGGGGGGGAGATACTTGCATTAGGATAATCCGAGACAGGAAAACCAAGCTCCACCCTGTTTTGAATCTCTGCTACACGAGGTCACTGTAGAGTCGACTCAAAAGGAGGACTTTCCACTTTTGGATCCTGCTCACTTTTGGATCCTTCTGCACTAGGACTTTCCACTAGGAACGGAAACACATGGAGGATCCTGATTGGACCTTGGCTATTTGAACTCGCGAGACTTCGTAGAAGGTTCCTTCCTGCCAATGCCGCTTCGCCACCCTAGCGCCTTGCCCCCACGCGGGGCGCCGCCACAGAATATCCACCAGGTTTTGCTTGCGCCGCCTCTTGACTTGCACTTGCTTGAGAACCTTCGCGTCGTTTTCCTGAGAGCCCTCTGAAACGATGTCATCCTGACTTTGCGAGTCAAAAGATTCTTTTTTTAACGGTGGGTTGCCCGGAAAAAGAGGTAGTGGTTTCAGCCCCAAGCTAATCAGTAGCGAATCGGCGCCGGAAACTTCAATGGGTTTGGTCGCGGCGGCAGATCCGGCGGCTAGTGCGGCGGGAGAAGCGGCGGTAGCAGCGGAGAAGGTCGAATGGACGGAGGTGGATGCGTATCGGCATGAAAGGAAACGCGACGCGGCAGGAAAAATGCGCGACGGCGGGTGCGCCGGTGCGGGGATTTGGCCGGAGGCTACGGGCGGTTCGGCTAGAGGGGGGGAGATCGGCGCGGGGCAGAGGCTAGACCGCGGAAGCCCGTGGCGGGGAAGGCGGAGCGGGCTTTGCGCGATTTGCGCGCTTTGCGCGGTGAGCTCAGTGCGCGGAAGCCCATGGCGCAACACCACAGTTGTTAGGCGGCGCAAATCATCGCCGCGAGGCATTTCGATTCCGCCAGTTGCTCCGCTAAAAGCGGCGGAAACTGCGGAAGGAGGTGACGGAACGGGACGAGATTGCTGAGGCGGCACAGGGAGGAAAACGCAGGAATCAGGTCAGCAGTCCAATGTACTCGATATATTCCAACTTCTGTAACAGCTCGGTGTATTGAAATTTAAACCCCAAACAAACAAACCAGCATACGATTCTACTGGTGGCTTTTCTTTTCAAGGAAGTATGCTTGGAACCTTAAGTGTGGTCTCAGATATGCACTACAAGTGAGAATGCTCTACATAACTATATTTAGGTTCATTACAGCATCACGAAGTCAAGTTTTGAGCACAATTTTATCTTCCTGCTGCTGCTCTCCCTCTCTACGGTACTTCCTCACACTATCTTTGCGTCGACTCAAAAATCGTCTCATCACTGCCGCTCTCCCTCTCTACTTATACTCCTGCCAGCCGGGACAATCCTTCCTGCCATATCCCCCCTCCAGGAGCGTAGCGATACGAAGCTCGGACTCAGCCTCTGAGGTATAATTACCCCAGAGGCACGACTATATCTGGTGCTGTCGCTGCTGCTGCTCTCTCTCCCTCCCATCACACTTGTGCAAACTGCGACAATCCCGCCATATCCCCTGCAGAAGCGTAACATTACACACAAATTCGGCCCACCAACAATAATTTCCCAACACTTATTCCTATATCTGCCGCCGCCGCCGCCACCGCTGCTGCTGCTACTGCTACTGCTAATGCTGCTCTCGCTCTCGCTCTCTGTTCCTCTCACACGCCTGCCAGCTGCGACCATCCCGCCATGTCACCTGCAGGAGCGTAGCGATATGCTCGAACACGGCCCGCCAGTGATAATGGCCCCAGAGACACGTCCATATCCGCTGCTGCTGCTGCTGCTGCTGCTGCTGCTGCTGCAGTGGTGGCAGCAGAATCCGGAGCAAACCCGGAAGAGGCGTAGGCACCACCAGCACCGGCAGCAGAAAAGCCACCACTAGCAGTAGCAGCAGCTTGTAGATTACCCGAGACAGCCACACCGACTCAGCCACACCTACAATGACTTGGGTGAGTTGCATCGTTATCTTGGCTTGTGTCAATATATTGGTTTGTGTCGCTTTCAGCTCCTTCTCCACGATCCACACCTATTGTACTCAACCCACGACTCATGGCTATTCTTGACGAGCTTGCTTATCCAAGTAGTCAGTACACAAGGTTTGTGGGGTGCCTCATGTACTTGATGACGTGCACTCGTCCATATCTTGCATACCGTATTCTCCCTGACTAACACCCTAGGGTATATTTAAAAATACAGGGAAAAAAAGGGGGGTGTCTTCGCATAGGAAAAGGCTACATAATATGGTACCCGGGTCTATTTATATAGCATATATTTTTTGAAGCAGAAATGAAAGGAAAAAAAATATGTATTATGTCCTCTCTCTTAGATTGTTGATCAGGGGTGCAAAACTGAGTCCTCGATGATAACGTATGTGGCCAACCGAGGCCGCTTCGATGACAGCAATGCAAACCTCGCGCAGCTTGGGTTCATGCAAAGAGTTGTACATGACCCGAGTCGCGCACGGTGCTGAGAGGTCACTGTACATGTGACCTCTTGACATCCGTTTGGTCACGTCCAGGCCTCCTCACATGGCCCTCTGCTTCCTTTAGGTCAAGCGGCTCCAGTGCACGTTTTGTCAGAGTATTATAGCTGATTCATGTTTGTAGGCTATAGTGGGGTAGCACATATGGGGTACAGCTTTCTAGGGTTGTATTTGTACCCAACTCTGACTTAGTCATTTCATTCCTGTTCACTTGTTTCACATGGTATAGAGCGGGTCCTTCCTCAGGACCGTTTTTTTAGGGCCCACCGAAGCGCGCCCCGAGGCGCGCCCTTTTTTTTAGCGACCCCTCGGGTCGCCATTTCCCTCGCGGCCCCGCTGTCCCTCAGACGCGGCCCCGCCACCTCTCCTGATCGCGGCCCCGCCGCTTGCTTGACGCGGCCCCGCCGCCTCCACTGACGCGGCCCCGCCGCCGGCTCTGACGCGGCCCTGCCGCCCGCTTCGTCGCGGCCCCGCCGCCTGCTTGACGCGGCCCCGCCGCCTCCACTGACGCGGCCCCGCCGCCGGCTCTGACGCGGCCCTGCCGGCCCGCCGCTGCACCCTACGGCCCGCCGCTGCACCCTACGGCCCGCCGCCTCACCTGACGGCCCCGCCGCTGCACCTGCTGGCCCGCCGCTGCACCTGCCGGCCCGCCGCTGCACCCAGCGGCCCGCCGCTTCACCTGACGGCCCCGCCGCTGCACCTGCCGGCCCGCCGCTGCACCCTACGGCCCGCCGCTGCACCCTACGGCCAGCCGCCTCACCTGGTCGGCCCGCCGCTGCACCCTACGGCCCCGCCGCTGCACCTGCCGGCCCGCCGCTGCACCGGTCGACCCGCCGCTGCACCTGACGGCCCCGCCCCTGCACCGCCCGGGAGCCGAGCCGCCCAACGCCGAGCCGCCCGGACCCGAGCCGCCCTGCCGCCGAGCCGCCCGGGAGCCGAGCCGCCCTGCACCCGAGCCGCCCTGCCGCCGAGCCGCCCGGGAGCCGAGCCGCCCTGCGCCCGAGCCGCCCAGCCGCCGAGCCGCCCGGGAGCCGAGCCGCTGTGCACCCGAGCCGCCCGGTCGCTGAGCCGCCTTTCTGCAGAGCTGCACGACCTGCCCTGCCTGGTGAGCACAGTCCCACTGACACTGCGAGCTATTTCCCTACTGCTTGCACTGCGTCGCTGTCGTCGCCATGGCTACCCCTAGTGTCCTAGCTTTTGACGCTGAGGGTCGCGCCATTGATTTTGAGGTCTGGTTAGACGACCTGCAGCTGTTCTTACAGTGCGACAGGGCTGACGACCTTTCTCTCTTTGACCTCACCTCTGGCGCCTCTCCTGCTCCTGCTACTGATGCTGATCCCACTGTCCGCTCTCAGTGGGCCACCCGCGATGCTGCTGCACGTCTTGCTGTGCGTCGCCACCTCCCTACCTCTGAGCGTGCGCACTTTAGTCAGTACAAGAGTGCTCAGACCTTGTACGACGCTGTAGTTGCGCGCTACTCATCCCCTGCCACTGCTGCACTGAGCCGTCTCATGCTTCCCTACCTCTTTCCTGACCTCTCTGCCTTTCCCACTGTTGCTGACCTCATTACGCACCTCCGCACTAGTGACACTCGCTACCGCGCCGCCCTTCCTGCTGAGTTCTGCGCTAAGAACCCACCCCCCATGTACATCGCTCTCTACTACGTAGTCGCGCGCCTCCCTGACTCCCTTCGCGTCGTCAGGGACCACTTTCTCGCAGTCTGTCCCACCACCCTCACCGTCGACCTCCTCGAGAAGGCCCTCCTTGCAGCGGAGAAGAGCATAGTCGCTGTAGGTGCTTCTCGTGGTGACCCTCGCACCCCCATCTTTGAGGGGTGCTCTCCTTCCCCCTTGCTGCCCTCTGTTGCCTCTGCTGCTGCTGCCGACCTGCTTGGTCTTGAGTCGGTCGGCGCGGCGTCTACCCCTAGTGGGAGACGTCGCTCCAGCAAGGGCAAGGGGGGCAAGGGCGCGGGTGGAGCTGGAGGGGGCGGTGGCGGTGGCGGCGGTGGCGGCGGAGGGAGTGGGGGTGGCGGCGGGACTAGTGGCGGGGGTGGTGGTGGTGGTGGCAGCAGCGGCGGAGACGGTGGTGGTGGTGCCAGCGGTGGTGGTGGAGGCAGCGGCGGAGGTGGAGGCGGCGGAGGTGGAGGCGGTGGAGGCGGCAGCGGAGGAGGCGGTGGTGGTGGAGGAGGTGGAGCTGGTCGGGGTGGTACCCAGCAGCGTAGCGGCGGTGGTGGTGGCCAGCGCTCGCAGCGGCAGCAGCAGCAGCGCTCGCGGGACATCCCTCCGCCTCAGCAGCTTCGTGAGTGGTACGCTGGGCGTCAGAGGGGTGGGGGTACTGGTCCCTGCACCTACGTTCTTCGTTCCGGCGACCGCGCGGGTGAGCAGTGTGGGGGTGCCCACGCCACCCAGCGCTGCTTTGGTTGCCTGACGGACGCTTGGCGTCGGCAGTTCCCTGGGGCTAGTGAGATCCCTCGCTGGGATGAGCTTCTAAGGGCTGGTGTAGCGATCTTTGATCTTGATTTTGATGCTATCCTTGCTGCTATGTATGCTGTGGATTATAGTGAGGAGAATGAGGGTTACCGGTGTTTCCAGCCCGACCCGGGCATTGGTACTGCTGCGCTAGGTGCTTGTGAGGCTGCTGCTCTAGGTGCCAGTGCGTCTGTGCTCTCAGGTACTGGTGAGACTGCGCTCTCAGGTACTGCGTCGTCCTCGTCCTCCCTCACTTTCACACTTGACTCCGGGGCTTCTCGCTCCTTCTTTCGAGACCGCACTACCCTTACGCCGCTCGGCCGGCCGGTTGCGGTCTCCCTTGCTGACCCCTCTGGGGGTCCTGTCCTGTCTCACTTCTCCACTGTCCTCCCGTGTCCGGCTGCCCCTTCGGGCAACCTGTCTGGTCTGTACCTTCCCCCGTTCTCTACAAACTCGGTGAGTGGAGCGGACCTGCAGGATGTGGGGGTTCACCAGTTCACTCCTGCGAGTCAGCGGGTGACCCACTGCACGGAGGCACGCACAGGCCGACACTTGGCCACGTTCTCGCGTCGGCCGGGGTCGAGTCTCTACACCCTGACCGTTGAGTCTCCTCCTGTCCCTGCGTCTGGTCAGGTGGCTACGTCGGGTCTGGTGCTTGCTGCTGCGTCCCGGTCAGGTCCTGAGTCTGCCCCCTGTTCTTGTCGCCTCCTGTCTCACGAGACTCTCCTGTGGCACCACCGTCTTGGCCACCCCTCCTTGCCCCGTCTTCGGAGCATAACTTCCCGTGTCCTTCTCTCTGGTCTTCCCCAGTCTCTCCCTCCTCTCCCCTCCGGGCCAGGACCTTCCTGTGTCCCCTGTGTCGAGGGTCGCCTCCGGGCTACTCCTCACTCCTCCCACTTCCCCCCGACAGAGGCTCCCCTGCAGACGCTTCACA